AGGAGAGAGAGAGAGAGATGAGAGATGAGAGAGGAGAGGCGAGAGAGAGTGAAGGAGAGAGAGGGAGAGAGGAGAGGAGAGAGAGCTTCATTAGCCTTCCGTCTTCTTTCCACAGGGTACTGTGCCGCCTTCAGATGCTGATGCTCTTTCTCTGGCTCTGTCAGTTCGGCAACAGGTAAGCACGCAATTAACTTTTTCCGTTCTCTTTAATGTGGAGGATTTGTCACGTCTCCGAGTGGAAGGTACCTAAGTAAACAAATCTCAGCGACTCTAGTGGGTTTACAACTCACGTATCCATTGAAGAAATTGAAGAAAAGATGTGCGCTCACTTATACAAGGACCCTGCGTTCTCCTGGAATGATGTCGTCATTTTCAAAGATATTACCATATTTTATCTTCACGATAAGAAATTGACGATAAAACAGATAAGCATACATACACATTTTTTACATATTTTCATAAGCTTACGCATACTTTTACTCTTAATTGATTATATCACTGTTCACTATTTTTGTTTTGAATCATTGATTTTTCCAGCTACACTAACACTTCCCTGCTGTGGAAGATATCGGCTCCTTTTAGCGGCAGTGTGCAGCCTGAGAGTCGCTGTCTATTCGGTGACGTCATCCCTCGTTTCCCTGTATTTCGGAGTCCACTGATTGGCGTTCCGTGGTCCATTGGCCTTGAAGCCTTCTGGAGCGGAATGATCGCCCGCCGATCTCGCTAAAACGCCACAATTTCGGCGATGCATTGCCACAGTCGAGTGTTCCGAAATAGTTTGGCGACTTATAGTAGACATTTCATGCAACACGATTGATATGTTTCTTCAGTTTCTTAGGGAGTGCAATTCACCACCTACCTGATTTACGTTTGCACTTAGTCAAACTAAATATGACAATTGATACCTATGTGGTTAAGTGATTCCAAAAAGGTGTGCTATGATGTTATTGTGATACGGCAACAAAGTTATGGTAATCATGTTATTTCATTGACGGCAATGAAATACAGCAACAAAAAAGATCAACAAAAAGTTTTCAAGTGTATTATTTATCGTAGAGAAATATTCAAAGGTACCAGCGCTAATCATTCAAAATGTGCTTTCAAATTCACCACACGTGCGTCTCGAACGACGACCAGCCTCGTTCGCTCTGTGTTCAACAACGCACGACTGACGCGGCATTCACCTCCATTAGAGTCGCCGAAGACGCCTTCGGACAGGACAGAGGTGCGTCACAACCGCGTGCTGCCCCTCCCCCGCGGATGGGCATGACTCTACCGATGTCATCGATTAGCCCCTCCCCCGTCCTCCGGAAGGGGATCATTGTCGGTCGGGCGGCGGTGCGTATGGGAACCGCTGGTTCGTGATGAACGAGTCCACTGATGAATGGGACAGTCTGTGCACGGCCCGTGTACGACGACCGCCGCTAAGGACATAATTTCGCCCACGCAGGGTGTCTTTGTACAGTAATTGATCGTGACACTCCGTCGTGATTGTCCATATGACCAAGTGACACGCAAAAGTGCTGTTGTGTGGTTGGCACTTGGCTGATGTTTGCTCGGAAAGTCATGCCGAAGGAGTCGGTATGAATGTCCAAAAACGCAATTGATAGGTGTGGTCGTGGGCACGTTGTGCACAGGTGTCGTTCTAGTTAATCAGTATTGGAAGATAGATGCGTCCACGATGGTCCACGTCTTTATATGATTCCCAAAAAGCTCATGCAACTTACGCGACCATTCGCAGTTACGCAGGCCTATGGAAATAAATATTGTTTGAAATTTAAACATTTCCCCTGTCTTTCAATGCATGCAATATGTATTTCAAGGCCCTATATACCATGCATTTGGTACTTGCAGAGTTGTTTGTGTAACATTTGTGAATGAGACCCGAACCCCCTGTTTATCCTGTCACAGAGACCCGAGTCCCCTGTTTATTCTGTCGCAGGGCCTGGTGCCGGCAGCACAACAGTCACTCCCGTGTCTCAGAGCTGCTCGACAGCCTGCTTAGAGGCTACGACAACAGCATGAGGCCCGACATGGGAGGTGAGGAACGCGACGGGCGTCGTACTGAGAGAGAGAGAGAGAGAGAGAGAGAGAGAGAGAGAGAGAGAGAGAGAGAGAGAGAGAGAGAGAGAGAGAGAGAGAGAGAGAGAGAGAGAGAAGAGAGAGAGAGAGAGAGAGAGGGAGAGAGGGAGAGAGAGAGAGAGAGATAAAAGGAAGAGCGAAAAGAGAGGAGAGCCTGAGAGATAAAGAGGGACGGGGGCAAGGATATAGGTATTTTCTCACAACCTCGCAAAAAGACGCACATTCCAATTAAATGTATACTTTGATTATTGGCGAGCCTAGAGGCGGAGCCCATTTCACAACAAAAGCAAAATTAATTATCCCATTAAATGAATCACCTGCATCGCCCCTTCCTATCCCTGTACCGGAAGCGAGCACAAAGAAAAACGAGCAGCGCCTTTATTGGCCCGTCTTCTTCCATTTGGAGATTTTTCTCAGATCACGTCACTGTAATCTGACGGTAACGTAAATGGATTCGGCACCGGCGCCCACTGGGTGGTGGTGCTGTCACCGTGCGCCCCCCGGGCTGCGGCTCAGTGAGTGATTGCGGTTCCACGTGGCTTTATCAACGCTCACCCCTCCCGGGTCCAGCGAGCTACAACGAGAGACCGTGACACCGCAATATGTCATAGAAATATCAACCACACTGGCTTGAGGAAAAAATTCCGAATCGGTTAGCACGCAATGATTTGAATTAACCCGCGCGATGGGGTCTGCCGAGCAACGCGGTCTGATGGGGGGGGCATTTTGGCCCCCCCCTCAGATCTCGAGAACCACGCAACATAGCGACAAGCGGTAAACGGTGTTGGATAGCCCCAACGGGGAACTACCTTGTGACCCAATTTCATTGACCTCGGTCAAACCGATGACGTCACAGGTCAGGTCAAAGGTCCAATTTTCACCGTTTACAGGCATTTCAAAAAATGCGTTGTAAAATCGAGTAAAATGCATTTCATTGAAAAACATCGATGGGGAAATGTTCTTCAAACACATATTTTGCTATTTGAGGTCACTGATACCAGGTCAGGTCACAGAGGTCAGGTCACTAGGGGGTCACAATATGAAAGTGTCGTGTGATGCATGTTTTATGGTCCATTTTACATGACAAATGCGATTATGTGGGTCAGACAGACTTTAGGGCCAGCTTAGGTCACGTTTTGGTCAAGGTCAGGTCAAGGTCAGGTCAAGGTCAGGTCAAATTAGGTCAAATTTCAAAGTTGATATTTTTGCATAAAATGGGTATCGATTCGATGCAGCTCGTCACGGGGAGTTCAATGGTGGTCTCCGTTTTGCGCTACGAGGTCTAGAATTGCTAAAAATTGTGTTCAAAAAATTAGACGTCATCAATTTTTAACAGTTTTTTTCGCTATAACTTGGCCAAAAAAAGAGGTATCGATCTAAAATTTGGTATGTATATCGAAGAGCGCAGGGACTATCACATATATTCCGGTTTTTTTCGAAATTCGAAAATTTTTTGGAAATTTTTTGAGTTTTTCTAAAAAAAATCATTTTTTTTTATTTTTGGGGGTCAAAATCCCAAACTTTCGAAAATCCGAGATAGCAGTTTTGTAGCGCCGTTTTTTGTCTACACAACCACATAAAGAACTTTAAAATTGCTTGTTAACTGTAGAATTTGTGAGCGTTTAAAGATGTCATGTTTTTTGCTCATTTTTACTCGAACATGACCTCAGTTTGACCTCAATAACTCCTGACCTGAGGTGACCTGTGACTTGAAATTTTGTGTGAAGGTGTCAAATTGATGCCCGGTAAGGTAACAAAAATTTGGCGGCGCTGCGCGCTGCCGTTTTCTCGCTATTTAAGAAAAACCACAGGGGGGGGGGGGCCAAAATGGCCCCCCCCATCAGGGCGCGGGTTAACCGTTTCTTTCGTTGTTATTTTGTTCAGGTAGGTAGATTAAGTTCAGGTACATATTTGATTATTTTGTTTATCACCGAAACAATACGTAATATATAAGGACAATGCAGCTACTTCCGCTCTTTCAATCGGACTGTTTTTCTCTACCTCCCTTCAGTTTCATAACTCCATTTTGCCGTCTTCATTGTCAGGCATAAGGTGGAATTACTTTGGTGTCTGTATGCTAGAATTATAATGACATTTGGTCAGCTAGTGACTTAGTTTATCGTGTACCTGTTCAAATAATACGCGATATTTATTTATGTTCCATGTATGCATGCACCTATGCATGTGAAACGGTTGATAACCTAGTCTGATAGTTGTATGACGGTGAAACAATAACCAAAGTTTTGCTGGAAAGCTGTCAGCATTGAAACTTTGAAACTTTTCTCTAGCATTTCTAATCATATTTTGTAAAAACATAAAAATTAAAGCTGTCCTGAAAACTGTTGGAGTTTACGTGGGCAATGGATAAACGTTGAATGGTGTCTGATTTTCTTTCTCGTTTCAGGGCCACCCACTACAGTCGAGGTGGATATCCAGCTGAAAAGTATGGGACCGATCTCTGAGACGGATCTGGTAAGTCCACCAGCCTTTTAGTCAAGTACCTTATCACCAAGGCTCAGGGAGGCCGGGTTGACAGCGCCTGTTACAGAAATAAAAGCGGAATAGGAAATATGAACCGGCACAAACACCTTTCCTTAGGAATAATGAGGACAAGATTCAAGAAACAAAATATTTCCAGCTGTATTCTCCGCAGCTTCGAATCAAATCATAGCCTTCCTCTCTCGCAAGCGTAAATTGCCATCGGGGGAAGTTTTTCGCTCTGAGGCACTCAATACTGAAGCTGCGTTTCTTGAAGATAAAGTTGTATGAATACTCCGTCTCCATTGGTGCTGTCGTTCCATGCCCTTATATGTAGGTACTTACTTATGCTCTACAGTAGGCCGGCAGAGCTGAAAATATTGACAGGAGCATTTCAGCAAATTATGAATGGCAACTCCATTTTGAGTTTACTTTGCAGTACAATGGACAACATTTTATCGGATGTGCCGACACCTACTCCATCTAAGAGGATACCACATATGTAGCCTTAGAAACTGGACACAACGCCGTGCTCATTGCAGGAATGCACCTTACATCCCTAATGCTTTAGCCAGATTGAATGTCTGTACGTTATCCGCCATTTATGTTATTCTTGTTGTTTTTTTGTAGCTTCAAAGTGACATATTGCAAACATGGCTTTGGGGTATATCGCCACCCACGGTTTGCTGGGCGGGGGGTCGTTAAACTCCCCCAGCCGATAACTCAAGAACCAATAGGCGCAGCGAAACGCACGAGGCGGCAAACGAAAGAACGCGACGAGACGCTTCAGATGAGTACTTTAAAGTTGAATTTTGAGGTCACAGGTGGGGTCAAACACCTGAAATCGGGCTTTCAGTAGCATGGACTTCAGGACTTCGTAATGGGCGCCTCTCGTCATAAACTCTGTCAAAACGGTGCACAATCCTTCATATAAGGCCTACAAGAGTGTCAGCTCCATGTAGGGGTCAGTCAAGCATAGGTCAGGGTCAAGGTCAGGTCAACCAGATAGGCCCGAAAATCAAAACTGATATTCGCAGCCTGTGACACATGTTTTATGGGTAGTTTTGGGCGTAGAACACGATGGCAGTGGCGGATCCAAGGGGGGGGTCACATGGGTCATGGCCCCCCTTGAGGCCCGGGGGCCCAAAGACCTGCCAGGGGCACCACCGGCCTATCAGGGGTATCACAGTCCTGACAGGGGCACCACAGGACCGCCAGGGGCATCACAGGCCTAGCAGGGACACCACGGGCCTGGTGCCCCTGGGCCCTGACAGGACTGTAACGCCCCTGACAAGCCTGAAGCGTCCCCGGCAGGCACGTGGTGCCCCTGACAGGCCTAAGGCGCCCCTGCAAGGCCGGTGGTGCCCCTGGCAGGCCTGTGGTGTCCATGGCAGGCCTGTGGTGCCCTTGCTAGGCCTCTGGTGCCCCTGACAGGCTTGTAATGCCCCTGGAAGGACTGTGGTGCCCCTGGGCCCTGACAAGCCTGAGGTGCCCCTGACAGGCCAGTGGTGCCCTTGCTAGGCCTGTGGTGCCCCTGGCAGGCCTCTGGTGCCCCTGACAGGCTTGCGGTGCCCTTGGAAGGACTGTGGTGTCCCTGGGCCCTGACAAGCCTTAGGTGCCCTTGTTAGGCCTGTGGTGCCCCTGGCAGGCCTCTGGTGCCCTTGCTAGGCCGCTGGTACCCCTGCGCCCGGAGAGGACTGGTGCCCCTGAAAAGTCTGAAGTGCCCCTCGGCAGGCCCGTGGTGCCCCTGACAGGCCCAAGGTGCCCCTGCGAGGCCGGTGGTGCCCCTGGAAGACCTCTGGTGCCCCTGGCAGGTCTGTGGTGCCCCTGGCAGGTCTGTGGCGCCCTGGCAAACCTGTGTTGACTGGTGCCCCTGCTAGGTCGCTGGTGCCCCTCACAGACCTGTGGTGCCCCTGGGCCTTGACAAGCCTGAGATGGCTGGCTATGACAGGCTCGTGGTGCCCCTGATAGACCAGTGGTGCCCTTGCTAGGCCTGCAGTGCCCCTGGCAGGCCTCTGGTGCCCCTGCTACCCCTGCGCCCGGAGAGGACTATGGTGCCCCTGAAAAGCCTGAAGTGCCTCTCGACAGGCCCGTGGTGCCCCTTGGCCCTGACAGGCCCAAGTTACCCCTGCGAGGTCGGTGGTGCTCCTGGCAGGCCTCTGGTGCCCCTGGCAGGTCTGTGGTGCCCCTGGCAGGCCTGTGTTGACTGGTGCCCCTGCTAGGCCGCTGGTGCCCCTCACAGGCCTGCGTTGCCCCTGGAAGGACTGTGGTACCCCTGCCCCTAGGGGTGCTCATGGGCCCAACAGGCCCGTTGTGCCCCTGACAGGCCTGTCGTGTATACTTGCTAGACCTGTGGTGCCCCTGCTTCCTGGCAGGCCTGTGGTGCCCCTGGCGGGCCTGTGGCGCCAGGGGCGTAACTTTTTGGTTTTCGTTGGGGGGGCAACGCTGTCAGGGGCGCCTTTTTAAGGGCATGGGGGCGCCTCCCCGTGACTGTCTAGAAATAAGTCTTATTTCAGTTAACGGCAGCATTTTTTTTTTTACCATAGCACGTTGTTTTTGTGCCGTCGTGTTTTGGCACGTTATGTTGCAGTTTTTTTTCTGAAATAGCGCGCCAAAAGCGCGGAATTATTTTGTAACCAAATACATTTTGAAAGCACTTTGGGGACCAGGGTAGTGACGCCTTATTAAACAACGCATATGGTAGTTCTTCTAAAGAAACGAGACGAACTGATGAATTGACAAAAAGAAAAGAAAAAACAACTGATAAAAAGGCGAGATTAAAGAAACAAATCTGTAGAACTTCACCCCACGCAGAAGCAAGGGACGTTTTTACGCCTCCCCTTTTAAGTTAAGAACACACTTCATACTGCATCTTTTCCGCACGTGTTCTAGAAGCAAACCAGTGGCAAAAATTTGCCCTCATCGAAAAAAATAAAAAATTGCCCCCCCCCCCGCCCGCGCCGGGCCGGGGGGGGGAGTGAACACCTCCCCTGCGGTTTTTCGCAGATATCTCAAAACTCCGCGCCGCCGTTTTTGGCACACCTGTTCATGCATCTTTTTTTTACACATGTGCAAATTTCAGACCCAGAGCTCTCAAGGTCAGGTCACCAGGTCACGTCAAAAGACCTCACCTCAGAAAAAAGTTGCAATCCTCGTCATAGCTACACCGACTGAACGATCGCCTTGAAACTTTCAGCGATTGATAAGAGTAACAGTATGTCTAAAATGTTTATCTCGGAATTTTGATATCAGTGACCTATGGTCAGGTCAATTTTGCGACCTCTCCATTATAAGTCAATGGGAGAAAATTGAAATGAGCCTTTTTTGGACGAATGGTATTTAGAACCCTCTCAAACATCGTTTCATAGGTAAACATGATACACTGAATCGGAAAAAATGCACCTGTGACCCCTCTGTGTGCCCTTGAGGTCATCTCAGGTCATAGACGGTCACCACCAGTTTTTTGGCTGTAACTTTTGATAAAGGCGTGCTAGAGCGATGAAAACACTTCAGATGTATTCAGCTCGACGATACGGATCGACTGATATGCAACATGACCCTTTTCGGTCAGGTTATGACTAGAGATTGCAATCCCGGAACGTTTTACCAATCCCGGGATCCCGAAAGTTTTTATTTCGGGATCCCGGGATCCCGGGATCCCGGTCTTGTCACTAAATGTCGTAAGAGTGATTTCCTACTGACATATTTTGCGTCTTTTAGCTTACCACAAACAAAGAGGCAACCAAAAGCCATCCTTAGACCATGTCATTTGCATTAAAAACGATTGAATTTGCGAATAAAACGTTTCGATTTGATTAGCATTAGCATTTATTCCCAATTGGCCTTCATAAAACTGTGCGTCGACCAGTACGTTTACTAGACGGGTTCCAGCACATCCACGCCTCACTCACTCTTCCTCTACGCTACTCGTGGTTAGCGCGACAGTTTTAAGCCATTGCCATGCTGGTAGGTCTGTCTACTTAAAAACTCGCAACGAGTGTACGCCAACTTTGGCAGCTCCCTATTTCACAATGTTTTCAAAACGTCGCTTGGTCACTTTACCTCCTTCCGGTTCCGCTTTCATCATTAATGTCTCTCAGAATTTGCTCGAAAGTCTCTTTGAGAGCAGAGTCACTGACTGGGAGAGCTCCACTCTACCGTCTTCAACGTCTGAATCAGTGAGCTCTGCCGTCACTTGCGTGACATCTGTGACATGTTTCTGCGACACGAGCTCAAAGACTGTCTTGATGACCTCCTTTGTTCCGGCCACGGACGGGCAAGTCAGAATCGCTGAACGATCTGTGATCCTGATAAAGATGTTGCAGCGCTGATGCTGCAATTTTTTGGCGTTCGGGACCCTTTTTCGTACGTATTTAAGCGGCTTGACCGCTGTGGGTGATACCCGAGAGCTACCAACAGTCAACACGGTCGATTGTCGACGGCCAATACGGGGTGCCAGCTAAATAGTTTATCTGCTTTATGTCACGCAGCACCATAAACAGTGTAAACAAGACTCGTGCAGCGGCTGCATTCTTTTTAAGGTGAAAAACTGATTCTTTTCGGGATACCGGGATTGGCGGAATTTCGGGATCGGGATCGGGATTAAAATCCCGCCGGGATTCCGGGATCCCGATCCCGGGATTGCAATCTCTAGTTATGACCTTGACCTGAGGTCAAATTTTAAAAATGACCTTTCAAGGTCAAAAAATAGTTCATTCGACGCGTCTCGACGAGAGGAACATGATGCTGCCAAAAGTAATGTCGTGGCACTCTTAAGTCAAAAGTTATTGCCAAAAAACAGTTTTCGTGAAAACTGCTATTTTACAGTTTTTGCCCTTTGGAGGCTAAACCGTTGACCTTAGGTCAAATCTGAGAACAATGGTCAGAAAGGTCTGTAAAAGGGCTATCGAATGCGCTTTTCCGCGGCGCTGTAGCTCTATTGGTCCCGAGTTAGCCGTTGCAGTTTCCAAAATTGTTGAAATGGCCTACATTTG